ACATACAAAATATATAATACCTATTAACTTAAAATGCAGTCCACAGACTAATGTTTAAAAAGGCATTAATGCCTATAATGGCAGTATTGTATTGCTATTTTAGTAACATATCTGTCTTGCAGTTACGTGGTTTTAAAATCAAATATTTGATACGTGGTATCACTCAAACAAGTTTTAGCGGGAAATAAATGATAATATGTTAAACTAACCTCAATTAAATTATATTCTCCTTTAAAATACGAATCCAATGATACCAAAACGTCAATTTTGAAAAAAATGTCAGATACGAGTTATTGCCAAATCAGTAGCAATATATAATATCCAACACTGGTGTCAAAATGGTACTAGTGCACTGTTCAGGTTTGCAGGCATCATTCCAGACTTTAAAATCACATGTTAGAATTAGGTATTTAATTATTTCAAAGAACGGAAACTTATTGAAACTACCCAACACAGTGCGAATGAGGTTCCTGGCATTTAATTAAATCAAAGAATTGATTTAAAAAAATTAGCAATATTTTTAGGAAAATAACTCATTAAATTTTGCTATTCAAATTTTTATGAATTTGTTTACTGCTCCTAAAATTGATCTAATTTTTCTTACTTTTAATTCATCTTGTTTTTTTCAATCAACTTGTTTCTTCATGCAGCCTTGTTTGTCAAGGTATGTGTCTCTTAGAGTTGAGAGAGGATTGTAATTACAACTTAATTAGCTTCACCGACTGTAGTGGCTTTTTTTTCCTTGGTGAGTCAAATTAACTTAAAAAAAAATCCAGCTAAATAAGTTTTCTGTCCTGTTCCAATGCTAAGCAAATAATACCAAGCATAAAAATCATTGCTGAGAGTGTTGTTGAGTTAGCAACAGGCACAAAAATATCTTTGTTTATTTAGTCTTACAAAATAGACTATTGATGTCTTATTGAAGTAGGTATCTGTAGAGGTTTTAGCATATTCATTGAACTAAGGTTTAGTCTGGCACTGGGTAGCAGTGTTTTCTTTGCTACTGATTTGTGAAAAATTATATAAAATTTTAAATACAGCAAAGTTGGCATTTAAGCAAATATGCTTTCTGTAACTGAAATTTTCACAAGGTCATTTTTCCCAATAATTTTTTTAAATTTTTTTCTTTTTAATTCATTTAAATTAACTTTTCCGAATATAAGAAACTCCTTTTGGTAAGAAGTTAATTGATGTAAATTCTGTTTTAAAAAGTTTACTGCAAGTTAAGAGTTTATCTGACATATCTGAGATATACAAAAATATTAAAAACAAGTTTTGTTGGAACCATCTGCAAGATTATAATGAAGATTATTATTCAGCCTATATAAGGAAGATAAATTAAGCTGGAGCAGTAAGTTTATTCCTTAACTGAACACTGAAGTATATAAATTCATCATTATTATATAGTTTGATTTGATGTTTTAAGTACGATGTACGATATGTATTAAGACTTTTATTATGAAATGAAGGCAAAAAAAACTTTACCCCGCCACTCAAAGTCTAAAATACATCATCAAACCTGAGCAACGATTAATTCAACGAATGAACATACTGCTCCAGCTTAATCTATAACTCTGTTCTTTTTTTTTCCTAGTAACTCCCAACTTAATAGTGGTTGCTTGCAGCCTTGTTGGGAGTGAATGCAAATAAAAAAAAAAAAAAAAAAAAAAAAATTCCAACAAAGCTATATTGTTGTCTTTTTTACTATTTAAAAAAAAATTGATACATTTATATTGCCATACGGCACTTCGGATAACGTGTATATTGGCAGTACTTGCACAAAAAGAGTAAAGTCTACCATTAAACCTATTGTAAGTTTTAGATACTGGACATCAAATGCAGAAGGTATAACACTCACATTTATTTGTGAACACAATCTATTATAACCAATATCTTTAACGGGCCATATGATTGAGTACACAAAGGAAATGTGTAAAGGTCATCGTGTTTTAAAAAACTTGAAAATGTTCAGAGCAACTGCTTTTTATAAGTTGTGAGAAGGATTAGGTGACACTTTTCATGCTGAGCTTGTTTTTGATATGAAAATAGTATTTCCCTTTAACATAAATGAGTGCTTCTTGGCAAAAAATTAGAAAGTGCTTAGTATACTCAAAGCATATTTTGTGACAAAGTTAATAAATTTGTATTAAAGTACTATGCATCATTATCGCTTGTTATGGTAAATGCCAAAAGTCTTTTTAATGCTGTTATTCATTTGTTTAACAAACACATAATTCCATTAAGTAATCTAGTTTCCAATTTATCAAATTCTACCAATTACACGAGGGGAAAAACTGTTAGAAATAACTATTTGAAATCCTGACTTCAAATCATCATTTTTTAAGACCTTGCTAAAAGCATCAGTTTACTAAATGAATTTTACATCAGTTTACTAAATATTATCAATCATCAGTTTACTAAATGAATTTCTTTTTAACAACTCTTCATTAAAATTCCTGCGATCGACCCAATGTTTCAATATCACGAAATTACAGAAGGAATGTTAAAAAAACTCCCAACTTTCTTTCCCACTGTAGATATAAGTAAAGTAGTATTTAATTCAGAAGCTATGCAGCTTCAGATAGATATAGCGTTTCAACCCGTATTTGCTGATGGAAAACCGGCACGTTTTGACTTTTAGTGGGTAGAAATTTTTAAGTGTAAAAAATATTAGGGGCTTAGTAAAATAATTAAAGCATGTCGATCAAATCACGAGCAAGTATTTAGTAGTCCTTACGTTGGGCAATTGTTAAGCATGATTAACATTATAGTTAACAAAAAGAAAAACTATCTTTATACTTCAACATACTATGCTATAACTTCAGTTAAGTATCAATTATTAGGAAACAAGACTACAGCACAAGGGTATTTCAAAAGATGAGATATATTGCATGAACCAGTTAACAAAAACATTTGTGGTCATTAGCAAACTGCAAGCAAACGATATATTAAAAAAATGGAATTCCATCAGAAAACAGAAAAATTGAAGAACAGTTTTTGAGTATAAATTCAACATAGAAAAAAAAAAAGCCTCACATGAACCATGCAAAATAGTTAAAGAATCTAATATTTCTGGACATTTTATACTTAAAAAATAAATAAATAAATATATTTCTGGACATTTCATACTTAAAAAATAAATAAATTATTACAATTTGCAGGTTGTTTACAGTAAAACTGAGATATTGTATTTCATTTTAGAGAATTTTAGAGAAACATTATTCAGTAGTTTTTAGTTACTTTATTTATCATTTTACCAACGTTCCAGAATTTACCTACATACCTTTGTCAGTATGTTAACTGTATATTTTTCTTGGATTTTCCAGAATTTTTTAAAAAATAATTTCCGGGATTTTCAAGAAAAAAAATCACATCATATAATGAAAAACTCATCAATGCTGCTACAGAAATAAAAGAGTTTTATTAGATTTGCAAGACTTCTTGTCTAATGCTAAACAGTTTAATTTGCCTCAGTGACTTAGCCAGATAGAACAGATAGATTTAGCTAGTGATTTTGGACTTTTTAAGCAAGCAGCAGAATTATTAGTGTCTTGATTAAAGGAAAAAAATCTACTTTGCTTTGCAAAAGTTTTTAATTTAGAAGAAGAGCAAAAATTTTTCAGAAATCAATTTATTTGTTTACTGTCTTGATATTTCAGGTTTCCTAATACATATGGGTATTTCTGTATACAATCCAACAGAATAGAGATTTTTTATCAATAGCTCAAAACAAAGTTTCAAATGCATTATTTTACATAATAGCAATATATTTGGTTCTGTACCTATTGGTCATTCTGTTTATTTGATTTTTCTATAATACAACATGTTCAATCTCACTGCGACATAAATTTTTAGTTTATAAATTTGGTACTGACACGTCCTTAGCATCTGCCATTTGTGTGTCCAATTAATAACTAATTTTACTATTATCAGCAAATGTTTTTATTTTAAAGTTTGGCATAACATGCAACTTTAATATTTCTACTTTTGTGTTTTTCAAGTAATGATATAGACAATTCATTATTCAATATATATTTCTGAAATAGTTATTACACTTTATTGATATTTACAAATAGTAATGTTAAGTAAAAACTTTGCTGTAGTTAATAACATTATTAGTAAGAAAAGTTACTATTATAATTGTAATCAGTAACAACCTTAATAGAATTAATAAGAATGGAGGTAGTAGTATTAATAGTGATAAGAGTGATAACAAAATTAATAATAAAGTTAATAACAATGATAATAAGGTCTCCACGAGTTCTTCTTTTCTCTAATGATTCCGGGTTTACAATTTTAATTCTGTTTTCATATTGCTTTTTTTTTTTTAAGATGGGACCATTTTTGTTGCTCTTTTTTGAACTTTTTCCAAATGATCTATATCTTGTTGTTGGTTAGGATTCCAAATTGAGACAGCATAGTCTAAATGTGGCCTTACAAGCGATGTATATAATAATTTCATAGTGCAGACATCCAAATTTCTAAAAGCTTTATTAACCATTTCCAAAATCTGGTTTGCATTATTTGCTGCTTTTATGACTTGGTTGTGCCATTTTAGTTTATTTGTAATAGAAATACCTGTCTCTTTCTATTTCTGTTTCTTATGTTAATAATATATATATATATATATATATATATATATATATATATATATATTCTAAAATGTTCAAATTTTTTCTATACACATTGTAGCAAAATTAACTTTTGACTACTTGCCTGATGATTGTGGTAACACATGAAGCTTTAAGTCGCAATATAATATTATAAATATTAGCATTTAGCTAATTCCTGATACTGCGGGTAACAGTAATATATATACTATATATATATATATATATATATATATATATATATATATATATATATATATATATATATATATATATATATATATATATATATATAGTATATACTTAATAGTTTAAATTATATATATATATATATATATATATATATATATATATATATATATATATATATATATATATATATATATTTAGCATAATGACACCTCAAAATTTATGAACAGTACATCCAGGTCTGCAACATGCAGCAGCTTAATGTCTGATATTTCAGTTATTCAAAAGAGTGACAGTAATATTGATAGTAAGTTACAATTTAATATATTTATAATATTCTTTGTATATGTTATTTATGGATGGACGTTATAGTATGAAATATAACTAGTGTTATTATAAGCAGCTGTTCTCAAAAACAATCACTAGTTTGACTATTCAAACTAAATTCTTTTTGGTTTAAATTGACTAATTATTTAAAAATAAAAAATTACATAAATTTGAAAATTAGAATAATTCAAATAACCAGACTACTAGACTTACCTCTGTAGTATAAAAAAGCTTTAAAATTATTCAAATATTTAATAATCTTGTATTTAAAGAAAAATATAATTAGATTTGATCTTCATATTTCAATTTTTGATAGTTAATTAGTTTTTCACTAAGGTTTTGTCTTGTAAAAGGTGCTATTTAATGCTATTTAAGTTAAAACATTAAAGTGGTCTGGAAATTAGTTTTTTTTTTTTTTAATTCATTGAATTTAAGTTTATATCTCTCATAAATTTAATCATGTTTATATTTCTATATTTATATTGCTCGTTTAGATTTTCAAATAAGCGTTATCTATTGGTTCTATGATTTTTATATGGCTATTATACATTATATAGAATTTTATATATAAGTTGAACAAGAGGTTCTCTTATTTTCTTAGTAAGGTGAAAAAGCTAATTGTTAACAGATGTACTCCAACATAACAAGAAGACGTTGTTCCCCTTAACATAAATTCTAAATGGTTTTTGTTCATATAATTAATTGCAATAAACTACAGTATTGAAAGTGTTGTTACACACCTTAAAACTATGCCTTAAAAATGCTTGCTCTCTGTTTGATTGTCTACATCAAATATTTTAAATGTTTTCTAATAATTTTTAACTCACTTCTATTAATTCAACTAAAACTTTTTCGAACCATGTGTTTTCTTGATGGCAAAATTATATTTGACCATTTATTATTGATTTTTAATATATAGCTAATTATTTTTTTTTATACACAAGTGTCATAGAAATATACAAGTGTCATAGAAATACACAAGTAAGTGTCATAGAAATACACAAGTAAGTGTCATAGAAATACAAATTTAACTATAGCAAAAACTAAAATTAAAAGTAAAAAATAAAAATAGTTTCAAGAAAAATTTTTTGTATTATTTGTTTCATGTATTTTTTGTAGCAATAAATCAAAAAAATTTTTTGTTGATTACTATTATTTAGTTATATTACTTGTTTCTCATTTTTAAGTTTTATCAGTTATTGATGAAGAAATTCGTCAGCGAATAGCTGATAACACAACAGTTAACTTAGAAAATCATGGAAAAAACATTCAGTATTCAATTTGGATTTCATTCATGGAAATCTATAATGAGCTCATGTATGATTTATTTGATCCAAGTTCTATTGTAAAAGGGAAAAAAAGAACAGCTTTGAAACTTGGGGACGATAAAAATGGAAACCCATATGTTAAAGGTAATTTTATTTTTATTCTTCTTGATAGAAATAGGTTGCAATCATATGGGTATTAGTATTTTATTTTTAATTTTAGACCTACGTGAAGTTTGTGTCAACTCATCTGATGAAGCGTATAAGGTATTACCTGCTTTTTTTTTTTTTCGATTTTTTTAAAACTCAGTATTGCATGAAAGTGTTTTTTGCTAAAATTTTAAAAATACCATTTTTTTAAATTTACACTCTGTTCTGTTAAAACAAAACAAATGAAATATTTATAGTTTTACTTTCCACAAAAAAAGGCGTACACTTTTTTCAAAACTTTGGGTTAAAAAAAAGAAAAGTTGTTTACATGATTTTATTGAACATTTTTTTGATAAAAATTGTTTGAGACAAAACTTATTTAATTAAGCCATACAGTAATATTAGAATTAAAGAATAGAAAATTAGAATCAAAAAATTAAAAGTTTGTAGAACTTTGAATAATAATACAGTTGGTATTATTTAAAAATATCAAGTAAAATACCATAGTAGTGATTTATTGATGTGATATTCTATATTTTATTTGTATTTAAAATTAGTATTCTTGATTTTATTTGTAGTTAAAATTGGTATTCATGATTTTTCAAGGTGTATAATTTATATATAAGAGATTTAATTTTTATTTTTTTATTTTTATTTAATTCACTTTCAACAAGGCTGCAAGCACTTACTATTAATTTAGGAGTTACTAGAAAACAAAGAATTGAGTTTAAAAGCAAGGAAACAGTTGAGAGAAGGCTTGCAAAATTAAAGGTTTTATCAGTCAGGAAAACATGAATATGTGAGAGAATTTTAAAGCATTGAACTACATTGAAAAAAACTAGACAAATAAATATTTTAAGAGCATAAAGGGGCATACAGTAAAAGGATGCGACTTAGCTGAATGAAGAGTCACACAAGATTGCATTTAGGTTGATAAAACTATAGATGATAGCTCCTTTGAGCAGTCACCATGATAGTCAACAATACAATGCCTTTTTGGATCTGATATAGAAGAAAAAGAGCATTATTAAAAGAACCAGCCCAAGTATGACAACAATATTCCATACAGATACAAATAAAAGATTTGTAGAGTAGAGAATGAAATCAGGAGTAAGATAATGGTGAGCTCTATAAAGAGAAGCAATTATTGTGATAGTTGTTAGCAGTATACAGCTGGGTTTTGCTGGAGTTAAAATTCACAAGGGAATGCCAGCCTTAAGCTGTTGCAGAAAAGAGATGACTTTTATATTTTAGTTTAAAAAAATGATTTGATAATCTCAAAAGTTTGCTCAAATAAACCATATGAAACAAGCTTATGGAGAAGACCAGCATGCCAAACTTTATCAAAAGGTTTAGATGTCAAGAGCAATAGCTCTTATTTCGTTGGCCCCATCTAATGCATAAAAGAGTCTTTCAGTTAGAGCAATTAACAAATTTAAAAGTTTGTTAGTTAAATTAGTTATAAGCATTTTGATAAAAATGTTTTTACAAAGTTAAATGTTAAAAATATTAATTTAATAAATATTCATTAATATTATTAATGAATGAATTGCAGTATATAAATAAGTGTTAATAACTATATATATATAGTTTATAAATAATAACGAATAAAAATTGTTAAATAAAAAGTAATCGTAATAAATAGTTTATAAGAAACAATTGAATTGAAAAATAAAAAATGGAGAAACTGTTTTTTTTTACTAGCAGACATGAAAAACTGGCAAGAATTTCTAAAATGTAACTGTCATGATCTTGCGAACATTTAGTTATTGACTTAATTGTGATAGTTGTGTGGCTTATGAGTGGAGTGATAGCTTTGCAATTATTGTTGTAAACAATAAATATAAACATGTTGTATATATTCTTTAGTTTAAAAAGCAGCAAATACATCACATACAGACTCATATTCTGTACTGAATACAATTTGTTTACCTAATTGGCCTGTAACTTACTGAAATCCTATACCTGCAAACGTTTTTATTGAAATTTCATGATGAAAATAATTTAGAAGACTTGTTTCAGGTTGAAAATAGTTTTGACATCAAAAAAGTTTTAATGCAGCAATATTTAAGTTATTTGATTATAATATTGTATAAAGATATAAAATATTTTAAACAATGTTTGTCATAAAAAATATTTTTTATTTAGCTTTTACGTCTTGGTCAGCAAAATCGTCGCATGGCTGCAACTAAATTAAACCAATCATCAAGTCGAAGGTATTCATTTTTTAAGCAACTTTTTTAGTAGTAGCCTAAAATATTATTGTTATTTTTATTTATTTTATTACATAGATTTCTCTCAAAAAACTTAACACTAGTGCTGTCATGTATATCCATCTCAAAATAGGATAAAAACTATCTAGCATTCTTAATAATGGCAAAAGATAAAATTCATTAGTTTGAATTTTAAACTGGTTCCAAGCCTTCCAAGGAAACACGTTTTGTTTTTTATCTTGTATGTCCACGCATGAGTATTTTATTTTAGACAACTTGGTTACAGCCGTTTAGATGTTGTATTATATTAAGTGTTGCTGAAAAAGGTTTTAAAAACAAAGAAAGCAAAACTAACAAAGTAGGAAGTTAAAACAAACTTTAATAGCAAGAAAAAAAAATTAATAATTCAAATAATTTGTGTACTGTTTTTATTTTTGTTTCTTTAGAGTGGTTATTATTTTCAGCAACGAAAAATAAGTCAATACAAAAAAAAAAAAAAAATTTTTAGTTGACATTAAAAAGGAATGATTTTCCTTTATTTTATTTGTTTTTTTTTAAAAGCAAAAATATATATTGCCATTTGTTTGTAAATTATATTTTTATTATTTTAATGTAACAAGTATAAATAATCCTTATAAGAAAACATCTATGCAATGCATGTATATACTTTTATGTATAACTTTTTGTATTATACAATAATATTTATTTGTGTCTTGTATATATGCACGTTTTGCTTATTTGGATAAGGCATTAACTTCATACGCGGATTGTCCGTGGTTTAATTCTTACACCTGCCTAATTTTTTTTTTTTTTTAATAACCCTGGTCATATGTTGGCTTTGTAACCACTTATCTTTTCTTATTTGTACATAAAAAATCTTTTTGTTGTATGTTTTGAATGATACACATCTCATCACATTCAAATTATACCATTTAAGCCTTTCAGTGTATTTTCTAAGTAAGGCGCACACACATATATACATAATTTTTAAGCTTCAATTAGGTCATGCCGTCTTAATTGTTTCATATTAACTTTCTTTTCCTGTTTTTTATCCGCAATTTTTGACGTGTTTCTTTTTAAGATTTGGCTGTGTGTGTGTGTGTAAAAAAAAAAATTAAGGAAAAGGTGGGTCTCGAACCACTAAAATTCCCTTTACAAAGTCAACACCTTATCCAAATAAGCTAAACGTATGTACAGATCCAAAGAAATAAGTTCAATTATATAATAATAAATATAAAAGTAATAATAAAAAGATAAAATTAAAATTATAAAAGATAAAAATAAAGTTAAAAGAAAAAATACCAAAAGTATGCGCTTGCATTACATAGACGTTTTCATATAGGACGATATACTTGTTACATTAAAGTACTTATTCCATCAAAGTTATACAAATATATTTTAAAATCACATTGCAATTTATATTTTTGCTTTCCTCTTTAAAAAAATAAAAGTAAAATATAGGAAAATCATTCTTTTTAATGTAGACTTAAAACTGTTTTAATTTTGTTGCTGAAATTAACAACCACTCTAAAGAAAAAAAAAACAGTAAACAATTATTTAAATTATTAAGTTATTTTTATTTTTTTCTATTTAAATTTCCGTTTATTTCCTATTTTGTTAGTTTTGTTTTTTTTGTTTTTGAAACTTAGTTTTTTCGGCAATGATCAATATAATAAAACTTGCAATTGGCTGTGACTAATTTGTTTAAAATAAAATACTCCCAGTGGTCATACAAGACAAAAAACCGCATGGGTTTCCTGGGAAGACTTGGGTTTAATATTATGACGAATAATATCAAAACAAGTATTCTTGACCGTAATATTCTTGAGAAAAAGACAGCATTCAAACATTTTCAAAAGATATGTTTTCGGAATTTCATTGTGAATAGTACAAATCTGTGAATCTACTACAGGTAGGGGGCAATAGATAGTTTTACTGGAGAAGTTAAAACTTAAAATATTTTTTATTTCAACAGATTTTGGCCTCATTTTGGCTTACAGATTTTTATTTTTTTCTTTGCAATGTCAACAATATATATTAGTTGTTAAAGTTTTTTTTTTTAAAACATCTTCGCTTCCAACAAGGCTGCAAGCAACCACTAATTAATGTTGGAAGTTACTGGAAGAGAGAAGATGAAGATTGTAGAGCAATATAACGATTGACAGACGACTTAAAAGATTGCAAATTATATGAATCAGGAAAGCAAGATAAAGGAAGCGAATTCCAAAGAACTGATGTTCGAGGAAAAAAACTAGACGAATAAGAGTTTTTGGAGCACTTAGGAACAGTAACAGAAAAAAGATAAGACTTAATTGAATGACGAGTAGCACGAGAATGAATTTTAGTAGATGGCACAAGAGACTCTAGCTCTTTAGAGCAATGTCCATTATAGTATTTGTAGAAAAGAGAAAGAGAAGCAACATTATGACAATGTGACAGAGGTTGAAGGTTGGCTGCAAGAGCAGGTCCAACTATGTTTACAATGCGTTTTTGCACCTTGTCTAAAAGAGAAAGGGCATCATTAGAAGATCCACCCCAGATATGGCAGCAGTATTCCATACAAGGCCAGATTTGAGATTTGTTGAGATAGAGAATATAATCAGTTATTTATATGCATAATATTAATTGACTACAATTGTTGTTGTATTATCCAATGCTAGTTATGCGGTTTTTCACTATCCCTGACAATATTTTTGTATTGTGAGACAGTATATTTATAATATTTATAACCTTCATTTACATATAAACTAACTTCAATCATTGTTTTACTATTTTCTGTTAATTTATCAATTTTGTTTTATAGCCATTCAATATTCTCCATTAAATTACTAAAGATAGTGGATGAACAAGTCAGCCGGATGAGTAGGTAAGAAGTAATTTTTTATAATATATAATTTACTTAAAATACTAATGAAAAGATAACTTGTGCAATACATCAATTTTATTCAATTATTCTTTAACACTATCAAATTTGTGCAACACTTTAAACAAGCAGTCCTAGAGATTATTTACTTTAGATTTGTTATATATGTGTGTTATATATACAACCCTCGGATTTAGGGTAGAATTAGTTGTCAATGCCAACCTAACTGCTGTCCTTAAAGTGTTTGAGGTCAGCATAAAATTGCTGACCTCATTTCTATGATTTATGGTAAGACCTTTATATAAATTTTTGACGACCTGGTGCTGACCTCTAAAAGATTAAGGTCGGCAAATTATTGCCCATCTCATTTTTCCTAATTCCGAGGTATATATATATATATATATATATATATATATATATATATATATATATATATATATATATATATATATATACATAGGGCTCAATTTGTTTTTTTATAAAGTCCTGGACAAAAAATAAAAGTTTTTTGAAATATAATTTTTACTGTTTTACGGAACCAAGGTTTGAACCAAATTTTTTTGATTAAAAATAAATATTGAATGCATACCTAGAAAAACTAATCTTGTCATTTTAGTCAAAGCTTGCCTTCTCCATTTTGCTCAAAAAATCGGAGTCTTTAAATTATACGTCAAAATCTACAGACTTCAGTAATTCCTTTGAAGTGCATTTAATTCATAAAAGTTTTAGTATTTGATGTCACAGTAGACTTTTTAGACAAATAAAAATGTAATGAAACACAGCTGCGCTTTTCTACTTTTATTTTAAAGTTGTTGTATGTTGTAGTATTTTTTCAACATACAGCAAAACAAATTTATTTGTATTATTTTTCCAAACATTGCAAATAAAAAATTGTAAAAAGTAAAAGTGATAAATTATTTTTATTTTATGGAAGCAACTTATTTTTTACAGATATATTAATAATTTTTAGATTTATATATACTTATATTTCTTTTGTTTTTAAATTAAAACAAATAGTAAAGCTTTACTTACCAATCTTATGATTTTCATACAAGTATTATACATTATATAGAACGTTATATATAAGGGCTTTCGTTTTTGGACAAGATAGTGCAGTATTATATATTCTGAATCTTACTCAATATCATTTAAACAATGGGAACTATTTTCTAACTTCTCTGGTCATTTTTACACTATAACGTTTTTGTTTCTCCAGTCGAAAAAAAACATTCATTAACAATTAATTTCATTAACTGGCAGTATTAATTATAGAACGTTATTATTTACGTTAATATAAATATATAGAACGTTATATATAAGGGCTTTCGTTTTGGGGCAAGAGAGTATAAAATAGATATTTGATGAACTGTTAAATTTGTTTATTATAAAAACTTTAATTATGCTGATTTAATTTAAGTTGTCAAAATGTCGTAAAAAATATGTTAAAAATTATTATATTTGGTATTTCCCAATTTATGTGTCATATTTGGCATTTGTCTCTTAACATGGAAAATTAAAAAACTAACAAAATTGAAAAATACAAGTTTTCCATTAAACGCTTCAATAATTCTACACAATTTGCGACCTTTAGTCATGATAATTACTATTTTGTAATTAAAACAAAATACGTAATACATGTTGTAAATAAATTTAATTAAATATATTCTCACATGGCTAAATAAGATAAATTTTGTGAATATGTGAAATCACCTGATGAAAATTTTACTAAACAATTCGCGCAAAATTCGAGTAGTTCAGAATGTCAGACAAGAAAACTTTGTTTTTTCTCTAATACATTTTTAATACTATGAGAACAAATTTGTTCCTAGGGCTTTTTTTAATCTTAGAACAACACAATATTGCATAATTTTAGGGGCTTTTTATTTATTGCTTAGTCGTTCTAAATAATGAGTAAATTTAGTTCAAGTTAATATTTCAATATTTACAGTTGCAATGTAATAAAAAAAAGATGTTTAATGTTGAACTTTTTATTTAGTAATTTATTTTTTACCTACGTTTGTTATAAAAAGACTTTAGTACCTCCGTCATTAAAATCATTTGTTTTGAATATATTTCGACATGATTATTTAAACTAAGTTATTTTGTTTGACTTCTCGAACTTCTTGCAAAGCAAATTCAGACGGAATATTGTCTAACCAAATAAAAATGCTGTTACTAATTTTATCCGGGTAATTAATATAAAAATTTTTTATCAGAATCTTGATTAAGATAAATACTTCATCAGTTATTAACATTAAATATAGCACAATAACAGTTTATAGCAACAAGTGAGCATAAAATATTTGAGTTTTGAATATCTTTTTAAGTGTTAAAGTTAGAAAATATAAAACTAAACAAATAATGAAAAAATTTATGAATAAAAATAAATAAAATATTTTTCAGAGTTTCATTTGTCAAAAGTCTACCATGACGTCAAATACTAAAACTTTATATATATATATATATATATATATATATATATATATATATATATATATATATATATATATATATATATATTTAAGAATTTCAATTGTTGACCTTGCTGGTTCTGAAAGATACTGTAAAACTCAAGCTGCATCAGATCGCTTAAAGGAAGCAAGTAATATTAATTCTTCGATAATGACACTTGGTCAGTGTATATCTGCACTAAGATACAACCAAATCCATCCGTAAGTATTTGTTTCGTAAGTATCTTATTTGTTTATCTACATTATCATAGTTTATCACTAATTTATCATTACATTATATTTTGCAGTATATGTAAGTAAAGTTGACTTAATGTAATTGACTTGATTAGTTCATAACTGAGTTGAAAATTTTTTTATTTATTTATTGTTGACGGAAAAGTTTTTAAAAAATATAGTTGACTATATATATATATATATATATATATATATACATATATATATATATATATATATATATATATATATATATATATATATATATATATATATATATATATATATATATATATATATATATATATATATATATATATATATATATATATATATATATATATATATATATATATATATATATATATATGACTTGATTAGCTTATAACTGTAGTTGACAATTATTTTGTCAACTACAAAAAAATCTAAGTTGCATTTTTATGATGCTAAAAATGATGGAAATTTTATTTTATACTTTTTATTTCATTTCATTTTTTTATTTTGTATCTATGTAAAACTTTATTTTAAAGTCAATCTTTACTGTTTTTTATTTTCAGAAAATGTCAAACTATAATTCCGTTCCGTGAAAGCAAACTAACTCGTTTATTTCAGAGTTTTTTTCTCGGAAAAGGTAAAGCAGCCATGATTGTTAATATCAGCCAGTGTGCATCTGTATTTGATGAAACTAGCAACGTGATGAAATTTTCTGCTGTTGCTAAACAGGTATATCAGACTAAAATGTATATAGGTTTTTTACTTCTATATGTATTAAACAGTTATATTGGGCTAGACTGTATGTTTTGCCATGCTTTTAACTATATATAATAAAATGATCAGCTCAAATTTCTAAATTACTTAAAGTTAATTTTTTGTTGTAATTTTTAGAAATTTGATTTTATATAGTTATTAAATGGTTTTCCTATTATGTTTAGTTTTATTCATATATTAAATTATATATTATTTTTATTTATATACTATATTGTAGTTAATATTATATGTATGAATAAAACAGCATAAATGGGGAGTAGATTTTTTATTTAAAAAGTTATTAATATTATTATTTTAATTTTTTTTTATACTTTCTTTTTAATTTTAAAGAGTTTTTACTTTTTTTTAGAATTTAAGTATTTGTTTTTTTATCAATTTTTGGGTTAACAATAACATTACTTATGGTTTATTTTTTACATCATTATTTTAATTTGTTGTTTACTTTCAACAGTTTTTGTTTATTTACATTTACAATATTAATTACAGTTACAAGAATATTTTTATTCATTAGGTAAAATTGAAAGCGCAACGTGCTACAGAAATCTGGAAAGTTCCTCCTATCCCTAAAACTCCTGTAGCTACAAAATCTTATCCAAAAATTTGTATTGTAACGCCAGCAACTTCCAGTAAGCGGACTCTAAACGATCCAACTGCTTTTAGTTATGATGTATGTGTTTTTATATATTTTACATAATTTATTGTTAGTATTATTATAGCTCTATATAGATATTATGTTAAAGGTCAGTCCTTTATTAGATATGCATAATATTATTAAAATGTCTACCCTATATTAAATATGCGTAATATTATTAAAATTTCTACACTATATTAAATATGCTTAATAATATTATTAAAAGGTCAATTTATTAACTTATTTAAATATGCATTAAACATGTAAGCTTGTTCTGTAGAATTTCTAGTTAGATGCAATAATAGATTGTTATTCAATTTGTTGTAATTTGGAATAATTTTCAAAAATATATACAATAGCTGCTTTCTTAGCTCATTTACAAGGTAATGATGAAAGTTAGAACTATAAAAGTCTTAAAATTATTGGTAGCTTTGTTGAGCCCATTGAATCCAAACAAACTATGCTTGTTGACCTAACATTTGCATTACCTAGATCAGCCTAAGATTAGGAAGTTTAATCAAATGTTAGCAGTACTCACCTTGCTTTATAGATTAAAAGCCAATTCAAACAATTTTATCATATTTTAAGTTAATCTTTGGTAAATTGTTTGGTTTTTTTCTATTAGAATAAAATTAGCGTTTTTTTTTTTTTGTTTTTTTTTTATTTTTATAGGGAGCGTTTTTAAATGCTTTAAATGTTCAACAATTTTAAGTCTGATTTAAGTGATTTTTGATGTCTTTTCTAAAATACAGTTCTTGTAATATACAGAACCATACCTTATAATTAGGTTTTTATAAAAAATTTTATAGATCATTGCTTATAGATAAAATGGATCAAATTATTAAGTTTTTTTGTGGAGGTTTTAACTTAATTTTCTAATTAATTAATTTTAAAAAAAGTATTGTAATTTTAATGTAAACATTATGAATACATAAGTTTAAAAGACAGCTGTTCTAGTTACTTTTTTTATTATAGTCTTTTCTCATGTTTCTAATGAGATATGAATTTGCATTTTAAAAAATGGCTCTTTTTTTATAGAAAAGTTAGTGTACTAAACTGTTAAAATTAATCTAATTGTAAATGGAAATATGGGAAAGCTCTTAACAGTTGTAAATACAAACTAAATGCAAAAAATACTTTCAGTTTTTGCATAAATTAAACTAATTAGTTATGTATAATTATAAGTAAACTATCAGATTTATTCAAAACTGGTGACATTTTTTACAAAAACTAGTTGGATAATGGTTAAGAATATTTAAACTAGCTTAAATTCAAAGCTTTGTAAAGGTTAAACAGTGTCATGCTGGCTCCAAAAAGCTTGTGCAAGATTTTTCTAAAAAAGCTGATTTATGTGGGTTTTTGCCATACATCCTTAATCTAAAGACTTTTAATCATATAAGTGCTATGTTTTGCAACAAGAGTGTGTAACTTGGTGTAAACCGATTAGCTTTACATTGCATTATGAAAAGAAATTTTCTATTAGCATTGATAATATTTTTTAAGATTGAATTTGAATGTGTTGTAGAATGTATGTAAATCAATCAATATTTTTAAGTGTGTAGAAAAATCTATGCATATTTTTTTGAAAAAAGTAAAAAACTTGCTACAGTTAATTATTGAAACAATATTTTGTATTGAAAAATATTTTTATGTTATTTAACTGAAGAATAGATAATCTATTATAAATGGTTTATCAAAAAGTACTAAGTTTTATTTGAAATAAAGTTAGATAGAGTCAAACAACAAAAAATATACATAAGATATTAATATTAATAGGTGTTCATACAAAACATTAAAAATAGACAATTGAATGAAGGGTGTTCATACGAAACCATACGAAAAAAATTTAAAGCACGACCCAAATTATTTTTTTTATTTCTTGTTTAAAATAATGTTCATGCTTTGAAAACATATTGTTTATAACATTGCTAGCCAGCTACATTTTGCAGCAGCTTTGCAAAGATAAAAGGTTAATTTTAAATTTGAATTATTTCTTTAAACAATAAAATCCAATTGAAATACAGGAAAAGTAAACCATCTCATTACACTAACACTTAAGTAACAACCTTCAAAATATGTAAATGTATGTGTCCTGCATGGAATGTGTTTTACTTTTTACTTTTTAAATTTTTATACTTTTTTTATTAACTTTTTACTTTTTTCAAAATTATGCTATTCAAATAGCATATTTTGTTTAATAGTTATAACACTTTTTGAGCGGTTTGGGTATTAGTACCCAATTTTATATTTTTTGTTTAAAAACCACAATCAAAAATTTAATAACAGTTATTTTAGCAGGTAATCAAACAGAAGTAACTAAGTGGCATAACTAACATATTTTGTTTTATAAAATGTTTGGTTATTGAACTATATATTTTATTTATTGTTTACTTATATACCATATTTTTTTAATTACATTTTATATGTTATATTATATTAAACGTATCTGTACTGTATATTTTTATTTATTCTATATTTGTTATGTTTTGTTTATTATATTTCTTTTATGATGTTTGGTATTTTATTTATTATATTTTACATATTATTTAATACTTTTTGATAAAACTATTTAATAAACTATCTGCATATTTTGTTAAAAAAATAAAACTCTATTGATAAATTTACATTTATATAATAAATTTCTAAATAGGTTTTATAATAAATGTTTTTTAAACTTTCGTTTTTTTTAAAGAACTGAGTTAAATCTTTGCAAGTAAAATGAAAAGACATTTATTTTCATTTATTTATTTTACAATATTTTTAAGACCAATAATTAAATTTTTATTTATAAGTATTAAAGATATTTTTTATAAATGTTAAAGATACTTTTATAAATATTAAGATATTTTTAAGACCAATAATTAAATATAGCTCTAGTCAAAGTCCAAAATCTACAATAAAATTATCCAAAATCTAAAATAAAATTTTGCAGGGAAATTAACAAAGATTACAGTTTGTTCAGATCAACTCACTGACTCTGTCAATGTAACAGTTAAATATATTTACAATAAGCATGTTTTTTTCAAGTTAGCTAAATAAAAAAATGCTAATTGAATAATTGCTATGTTAAATGAATGACAAAATGCAATAATGTTTTATTGCAGAGCAATTAGTAGATGAATATACTATATAAGCCACAATTGTGATACTAAATGACAGTCTAGAAGACTTAAATTAAAAATCCTACGAGAAACATTTCAAAAATGCTGAACAACATATAAGATCATCTTCATTAAATTTCTTAGAAATTTTTTTCCATTAAATTTGCATACAACATTTTTCCATTAAATACATGCATACAACAGGCACAAGTGCTTTGCCCCTCTTTAGCTCTGGTGTTAGTAGTTTCTCTGTTTGTTTTTTTTTTACTTTATGATAAATGTGGGTTTTTTATTAATAAAAATGATTTTTTTACTTGTGGTTTTATTTTTTTATTTTTTTAATTATATCCTCTACACGATATAGTTGCGCTTGTTTGAGTACCCACCTAAAAAGTGTTAATAATAAAGATAAAGTTTCTTTTCTTTCAAAGATCTTTAATTTTTTTATTTTGGTTTTTATAGTTTTGCAAAATATTCAAAAAATGATGCTAATAAAAAACTCAGTAAGCACAAGACGCATTTAATATGTTTGAAAAATGTATTAAAATATTTTAGTATGATTTTTTGAGGTTTTCATTCTAAAGTCAGTGATCAGGATTTTAATTTAAAATCGTTAAATTCAACTGTTGAATAATCAATTAAAGAGGTTTCTCTAATTTAATACAATCACTAAAAGCAATTTATGTGATGTAATAATAAACATTTTTTTTTAAATGTCTTGTATGTTTATAGGCCAATGTTATTTAATGGTTTCATTTTATTATGCAAAATACTAATGTATTAGCAGTCAAAGTTTAACACTTTAAATCAGATTAATAAAGTATTTAATTAATAAACCATTTTTTTGGTTTACTAATTAAATATTTTTTTTATTTCATCATTATCGTTCATTTTTAATTGTTGATTTATTTGATTAATCTGCTTTTTTTTCTCTTTAAAAGGTTTTTGTGCTGCATTCAAAGGTTTACCTGCATACCATTTATACAGCCGCCAGAAGTTTAAACAATTTTTACACATTTTTTGTATTGACATCCATTTTCTACTTATATAAAATAATTCCCTGGTGAATTTTTAATCTATAAGTGTAGTTTTCTATTGGGTTTAGTTTTTTAGGTTTTTTATAATAATTTTTACTTTTTTTACCAGTAACAACCAACTTAATTACTGGTAAAAGGTTTATACATTTCAATTTGATTTACCGGTAAATCGGTATTGCAATCCTTAGTAATTAATGCAAGAGGGATTTTTTTGTAAATAGATATCATTTGTTTACCTAGATTTACAAATAAATAATATAATAGATAAATATAGTATATACACATTACCTACTGATTTTATTTATCTCAGTATAACATTACATGTATCACTAAATATTATTAGTAATAGTTTTGACATTGTTGATAGCATTTCTTACTCCTTCCAGTAAAAATTTAGTTTAAAATCAATTTTCTAGCAAAATTGATTATTGTTATTTCAATATTTACTTGTTTTAAAACTGTAAGATACTAGTATAATAAATGTTTTCAATTTTAGTAATGCATAAATAAAAAACTTTTTTAAAAAAAATGCAGCAAATAATTTGCTTATGTCGTATACTGCATACAGACACATTACATAATTTTTTTGGATAATTTTCCATTAAAATAAATACACAGGTGTATAATTTCAAAGGTTCTATTATAAAGTACCAGATTTCAGGTAGTTTAAGTTCCCTAATAAAGTGAGAAATTTTACTTATTTTTATAATTCATATTTATTTTTCATAACATATTTTATTTCAAGTTTTGATTTAACATCTTTTATGATCAAATATAGGAGTTAGTCCAAATAGTTGCAGAACTACGCGATAAATTAAAAAAAGAGCGCAAGGAAAAAGATGAGATAGAATCAAAATTGAGAGCTGAAATTTGCGGAGAAATGAACGAAGTGATGGATGAAATGGAAAAGGACTATAAGTAAGAAAAGTATTTTTTTTTTTTATTATTCAAGTTTTTTTTTTATTACTACTGTATTTTATAACATTTGCATTTTATGGTTCAATATTTATGTTAATAAGCCGAAGAAATCTAACACAAAAATGTATCCATTATACAGCATTTTGTAATTGTTATTTCTTTTAGATAAAATCTTTTATATTTATAAAATATTTCACAATACTCTTGTAAATAGTTTAAGTTACTGTTTAATTTACAGCATTATTTTGATAAAATGTTTTGTTATTATTATGATATAAAATCTTTTAAATTTTACTTAAATTTTTTCAGACCACTGTGTTATCAGGAGAAAAAACATCAAAGTTGACGCATGAATAGGAACTGAAATGTTTTTCTATTGCTTTTAAACCTTTTAAGTCTGCTCTCTTTGATTTTTAGGAATCTGTTGTAGCAAGTCATATACCATAATTTTCTTAAGCAATTTTCATGCTTTATACTTGTGATCTATTCATTGAGTTTCGAAAGTTTTTTTTAGTTTCAGAACAGTATTACCCCAAGTTTAGACTAATCCGTGTAGTTCATAGTAGGGCTTCAGTGACTTTTGGTACAAGTAATAGATTTGTAAAAATAGTTCCTCAATAGATTTAAAGATAAATTTTTAAATGCATATTTTAAAGCTAGTTCATGATGATGGTCAAAGCAACCATGGCGATATTTATTACATTGCTATGCTCAAATCTTACAAAAAGTATCTTTTGCCCAAATCTTACAAAAAGTATCTTTTGCCCAAATCTTACAAAAAGTATCTACATATTTTCAATAAACTGTATTAGAAGTTCTTGTTGTTTCAATAGACAAAAATTCTACTTTTGGGTTGTATTTTAAATAGAGAATATAAACTCTGTGCTTCCATCATTGAAAAGACAGTAAAATCTTTATTTTTAATTTACAGCCTAATGGAGTCTGTAAATGTTGCAGTTGCACAGTCAGTATCATAAAAACTTTCTAATTTTTTGACCAGATTTTTTTCTCTAATGCAATCAAATAAGAATAACCTGAAGGGATGCTTATGTTTTATCAAATAATACACAATATCTTTTATTTATTCTGTCTATTTTATGTAAACCATAGCTGATTAGAGTATTATGAATAACATGGTCAGAAATTGAAACTGAACTTAAAATTTTTTGTTGACAGTATTATATTATATATTGATAGCCACTTTAAGTTGCGCACTGCTTAATCTTTTTATTCATAGCATGCCTTGTTTGATAAAGTCATAAAAAATAATTTTGCTCGGTTTAACCATTTTTAAAATCGTTTACATAAACTGGATCTTAATTTAGTTACATAGAACCCATTTAAATCATATTCTAATTTGCAATTATTTATTATAATATTTCTCCCAACTTATATCTGTGGATGCTCTACACATATGGGCCTTATTTGCATACATTTATTACTATAATTTAAAGTTAGTCAATATACTTAATGAAGTTTTTATTACTAAAACATTGTATTGTTTCTAAAGTATTCCTCGCTTAACAAAATTAATAAAAAAGCCTTAAAAAGTGTATATTGTTCATAAAATGAAGGAGCAATAATGAAATAAAGTCCTTTATAATTTGAAAAGTTCATTTTCAATCAATAAACTTTTCTTTCGTTTATCTTTTTTTTTTTATCAAGAGTCTTTTTAATATTCAAAAGTCTATTTGTTTTTTATTTTTTTATGTTAAAGAATATTTACATAAATTATATTTTTATTATTATTTTAATTGTTCAAATTCTTGTTTCCTTTTTCTGCACTTAAATATTTGTTCAAATTGATTTTGATGCTAATATTCAATCTTTTATTTTACTTTCTTTTTATTTTCTGTTTTAAAAAATCTATCACTATGGAAGTTATTGCAGTTTCCACTCAATTTATTTTATAATTATCGTCTAAAGTTCTCTTGTTCAATTAAATTGTTTTTGTTTTTTAATAGAATCTTTAAAAAAACTTAAAAAATTATGAAAAACTGTATTGCATTGCAATTTAAAGCGTTTTATTAAAAAATGATCAAGAAAAAACTAATCACAAAGGTGCAAAAAGCAATCAGAATTTTTATTATGCTTTACTTGAGCCCTGGTGATTATGTGTTATGTGTAATTATTATGTTGTTAAAATATAAAAATGAAAATTAATTTCATAATAAGTTAAAAACTACCTATGATAAATAATAAAATTTAAATTTGTATAAATCAATTAACAAAAAAATTTAAAAGAAATTCCTTGATTCTCCATACAAAAAAATTTAAATATAAAAACAGTATAGTAGAATACTTTCAAGTGTAAAAGTTTGGGGGTGTTAAGTAAACAATTTTCATTATCTTAATTAAATGGATGCCACTATAATTCATTTTATCAATCTTTTAATTGTGAATTTTAATTTTAGAAATCAGCTTCAAGAACAGCGTGAAAGGTTAGAAGACCTAATGGAAAAAAGATTAGACTTGCTTACAAATTTAGCTGAAACCCTACATAAAAATGAACAACGTGAGAAGCAAGATGGTGATGGATATGTATCAGCAGTATTGTTTCAAGCAGAGGTTTTAAAATTAAAGGTAATAAATAAATGTACTGTCACTAAAAATTTTTTCTTTAATTTGATCTTGTAAATTCACCCTTACTTCTCATAAAGTATGAACTTTGAACAAAGTTCTTGATAAACAATTTAACTTTAATGCATAATTTTTTCTTTACATGTATATTTTGTGCAAGTACATATGTTTTTGTGTACACTTTGTGCATTTTTTTCATGTACACATTTGTATATGTATTTTATTTGGTTGACACTATAAATGTAACTTAAAATTATTTTGATCATCTATTTCATTCAAAAAGGTTGTAGATAAAAATAAGTTATTTTATTTAAAATTATGTATTAATTATAAAACTAGTTAAAAAATTATTTAATCCTTTCTATACAATGTCTGTTTCGTAAATTTATCCATATTTATTAACAGTATTATATTTCGTTCAAATTTTTTCATCTTTTTTTTTTTTTTTTTAAATAGGATAGAGATGATACTATTTGTCAGTTAAAAGCAAAGATAGATGAGTTAGAATCAGATAAAAATCACAACAAGCAATTGTCTCCATTGCCATTATCTGGTTTATATGAAAGTTTAAAAAGAGATTTTGAGGAAGCTAAGGAAACACTTGCAGTGCAAACTGAAGCCATGAATCGTATGCAAGAGCAATTGATGTATAAAGATGATGAAATTGAGAAATTGGTAGAGGCATTGGGTGATAACTCACAAGATAGTATTGAGGTTTTTTTTTTTTCTTTTAATTTTTTACATTTTTAAAATTATTAATTAAATTTAATGTTTACACATTTTTTTAAATATTTTATTTAAACATTACACTGCAACATAACAACAAATTTTAGTTGATACACAGTAATTTGTATAAAACACTCAACAAGATACTAGATAAAAAACTTAGTTTAGAATAGGACAGCTGAAACACAAGTAACTATAGTCCAACATATGTAAAATGTGATGCGTCTGGCTGATGCATTATAATCAACATGGTAATAATATAATATCCCAACTTTAAATAAAATCAAAAGAAATTAAAAATAACAAAATATATTATTACAAAAAATATGGAGTTTTTACATCCAACCAATCTCCCCAAGTCTTAGATAAACAATAATAGTAACAGGGTTTACTAGCCAGCACTAGAAGGTAATGTATAATACATTATAAATTACATATTTATGTATATATACTTTGTAATATATACTTTGTTACACAACATCCTTGTGTGTGTGTGTGTGTGTGTGTGTGTGTGTGTGTGTGTGTGTGTGTGTGTGTGTGTGTGTGTGTGTGTATATGTATATATATATATATATATATATATATATATATATATATATATATATACACACACACACACACACACACACACACACACACACACACACACACACACACACCTATATATAAATTTTATGTGTATATTGTTTTCTTATCCTTGGCTAATGACCCCTGATAATAGTATTTTTTTAAGCAAGGGTTGGCATTGTTTAAAATGTCAGATTTAGATATAGTTGGTTACTATATATGACTCTTAGCTGTAATAAATTTTTAACAGTTTAAAGTTCTTATAAAAATTTATTATTGGTTAAAAGTTGGTTGAAATAATGGACTCAGTTAAGATTAGTATGATTGTAACAGTATTGGTACATTGCATTTATATATATATATATATATATTTTTTTTTTTTTTTTTTTTGCTTACAAATTGAGCACTTAACTCCTTACACCACTATTACTTTTCCTATTATTAACTAATAATAAATAATAAAAACAGTGACTTTTAGTAATAAACAAATTTAACAAGTTATTTAATCAACAAGTTATTTAGTTATTTACTATTATTTAATCAGTATGAAAATATAACATTAAGTACATTTTATTCTAGGTTAATAGTGATTTAATCTGTTTTATTGGTTGATATTTATTGTTGACAGTGTTTTAATCTGTTTTATTGGTTGATATTTATTGTTGACAGTGTTTTAATCTGTTTTATTGGTTGATATTTATTGTTGACAGTGTTTTAGTCTGTTTTATTGGTTGATATTTATTGTTGACAGTGTTTTAATCTGTTTTATTGGTTGATATTTATTGTTGACAGTGTTTTAATCTGTTTTATTGGTTGATATTTATTGTTGACAGTGTTTTAGTCTGTTTTATTGGTTGATATTTATTGTTGACAGTGTTTTAATCTGTTTTATTGGTTGATATTTATTGTTGACAGTGTTTTAATCTGTTTTATTGGTTGATATTTATTGTTGACAGTGTTTTAATCTGTTTTATTGGTTGATATTTATTGTTGACAGTGTTTTAATCTGTTTTATTGGTTGATATTTATCATTTACTACTGGATACAGTTGTTTAGTTTGAAATTACTTTTCTTAAGGTAAGCAAATTGGAAGAAGTTCAAAACTTGCTTGCAGAAACAACTCGTGAACTTGAAATAACCAAAGGTCAGTTACAAGAACAAGAACAGAAACTTCAAAAGTTAGTGCAACTGGAAGGTCAGTACAGTCTTCCTCCTAAAAGATCTAAACGTCGTTGATTTGTGTCGGTAAAATTCTTTGGTTAAAATAAAAATGGATGAAAAAATGACTTTTTAAAATATAGTTAGTTAAAAAATTTAAAATTATTTAAAAAATTATTTTTTTAAATTATTTTTTTAACAAAAATGTCAAAATTAATAAAATTATTATTATTAATTTTTTTTAAAGTTGTTTTATTTGGTAATGATGACATTTAATATTGCAGATGATCTCTGTACAATATTGCAGTGCAGCCATTTTGTTTGTTTTCTTAGCATATTGCAGAATTATTCTGTTTCAGTTGCTTATTCAGATTTTTGGTCAACTTTTTATTATTTATGTTAAAGTTTAACTATTATATAGTTATTTGTATTGAATTGTTTCTTGTAAATATTTTTATTTTTAAAACAATATAAAAAATTTCTTCCTGGTATTTAGAAGTCAATATATAAATATTTTTTTAACTTGTAAATTTCAACTCAAAAGCAATGTCATATTTATTTTAAGATTTTGTATGCAGACTTTAATTGTTATTGAATTAATATCATTGTAAAATAGAGGGTTTTTTTATTAAAATTTTTAATTATTTTGAATCGATTATCATGAGTTAGCTTGGTAATTTGGCATACAAACTTTGCAGAACAAAAATTTTAATGTACAAGTTTGTTAAATAGCTCTAAAGAAAATTGTAAATTATTAGTTGTAAATTTTTTTTTTTTTTTTTTGGGGGGGGGAGAGTAAATTTGAATTTCAAAAAAAATTCTATATAGAAAGGTGTGAAACTATTTATATAAAAAATATTATTTATAAAAAAAAAGAGATTTAAAATGTATTTAAAAACATGGTAATGGTATCATACTGATATGATATGTTTTGTGAAAAGATTTTTTTTTATATATATATATAAGAAACATTTCTTAATTTTGAATTTTTACTTGTAAAAACTTAAAATTCAGAGTTAGTGAAAATTTTGCACTATGATGTTAATGTCAGACATTATCAGAGTTTAAATGGACTCATTCAACAGAAAGCAACCAATCGACAATTTGGCATATCATGAGATTTTATCATCATTGAATTCACAAAATGTTTTTTCATGTTTTCATCAAAATTGAACTAATTCCAATATCCACAGTTTATGTGTTATAATGCAGATTTAAAATTTTAAATAAAAGATTTTATATGCGTTTCAGTTGTAAAGTTTTTTTTTATATGTCATTATTTTAGTTACAGATTTTTGTAGTTGGTTTCTTATCGTTGAATGTCGTCCAAATGTTCTGAGTTCCTTGTTGCATGTCTGTTGGTTTTACCAATATATGCAGCATTGCAACTAGGATACAAAAATCTGTATTCAACAAAAGAATAAATGCTCTTTTAATGAAAATCTCAAGTTTGAAAATGTCTAGGCTGATCTTAGTATAGTTTTTCTAAAATTTTATGAACTGAATTTAGGTATATGCCTTCAACCACTAGACCTGATGATTTTAAATGAATTTAGGTATATACCTTCAACCACTTGACATTATATAGTTTGGATTTCCATCCAAACTTTGATAATCTATCATATTTACAGTCATCTTTTTTTATCACTAAAGTGTGATGAACATTTCACTAGTCAAATGAAATTTATTTATATATATTTTATTTCAGAGGATCACAAGGAACTTCTTAAAGTAGCATCAAATCACGAAGAATGGTATGAACTTATTAAACAAAAAAATGTATTTTTAACAGAAGAGAAAGATGAAATTCAAAGAAAATACAGTGAACTTGATGAAAAATATAAAAGTACTTTGAAGGAGTTGGAGCATACGGCAAAGAATTACCAGGAATCCGTAGAAGCATTTCAAACTGCTCAATTTGAAAATGAAGAGAATTGTTTAAAAATAGAAAAACTTGAGTCAGTTACTAGTGAGTATCAGGAAAGTTTTAAAGCTAAAGACTCCATAATTAAGGAACTTAATGAAAAACTTTATGAATTAAAAGAAAAAATTTCATTTTATGAAGAAAAAGATTGTAAAGAAAATATAAATACACAAGAAATAGAAAGTTTGTTAACAAGCAAAGAAAACTTGGAGATAAAGATTAAAGACTATGAGGTCAAAATTGAAGAACTTGAAAAAAAGTTGAGTAGCTATGAAAATAATTGTTCTATGAAACCAGAAAAAGATACATTGTTGCATGAAGGAAACATGACTCCAAGTAAACCTGTCATAAAAAGTTTGCATACTCAGAAAAAATTTGATAATTTCTCCAGTCCACTTTCTCCAATGATGAAAGTTAAACAAGTTGAAATTATACAAAATTTAGAAAAACGCTTAGCAGATACTACAAAAGCTCTTGAAAAAAAAACAGCTAGTCTAGTTTGTAAAAATAACAAAATTCAACAACTTGAAAAAGAATGTAGCAAAGAGCTTCTAGTAGAGCATGATAAAATAAAAAAAGAAAATGCTGAAATGCACACTAAACTTGATGAACTTAACAAAGAATATACAAATTTAATATTATCTAATGAATTGCTGAAAAAAAGTTGCACTGATTTTGAATATAATGCTACATCTTTACACCAAGAACTTATTGAACTTAAAACAAATTTAAAATCCGCGGAAGAAGAGCTTTTAGTTGTGCAAAACAAATATGCAAAAAGCGTGGAATATTGCCAATCTATAGAAGCTGAACTTCTTAATGTAAAAGAAGGATTACTTATCATTCAAGATAAGCTTAAAAATTGTGAAATGGATAGCGCAGAAAATAATGAAAAGTCTATAATGTTAAATGAAAAACTGTTGAATAGCGAGTCTCTTTTGAAGAGTAAAGAAAGAGAGGTAATGAATCTACAAGAAATCAATGAAGAAACTAAGCGCTTGGTAAAGGTAAGCTGCTTTATGTATTTAAAGAAAATGGATACAATGTTAGTCTTTTTTTTTTTTTTTTTAAGTTTTTTTATAAGCAATTAAATTTGCTCTAAAAGATTTTTACTAGGTAAATAACACAGCTTTGAAAAAAATTTAAATATTAGCATTACTTTACTTAAGGGTAAAAGTAATGTACAATTATTGTAATTATTTCCTAACTACAATAGTTATTAACAAAATTAGTATTGTACCATATGTTGTATCATACATTAGAATCATGAATTTCAGAAAACTGTTTATGAAGAAAATGAATTAAAGCTGCGTAAGGATTTAGAAGATCAACGTAATTTTCAAACAGCTCTTGAGGATAAATTTAAGGTTATGTTTCAGGAGCTGAAGGAGAGTAAAGTAGAATTGATCAATGATCGGGATAAAGCATGGATAGAAGTAGATAAATTAGAGGCTGAGGTACATGATTTTTTTTATTTAATAAGAAATGTTTTTATTTTTGTTTTATTTTCAAGTTTTGATCAGGGGCTATTCTCAACTGTTTTCAACAGCGGGGTTTTTTTTTTTAATCGTTTTTTTGCCTACATACAATAAATTTCCATACAGAAAGTGCTTTTACTCTTAAATATACTAATATATTTATTAAAAAATCTATACATATGTAAAATTCAATTATTAAATTTGGAATATATATGATAGGTGCCATGGGTGGTACTGCTGCCCAAATTATTTTCTTAGAATAGCCCCTGATTTTTTTGTTTTACCAAGTCATGTTATTTTTTTTCCCACTCACTTTTAGAATAATCAAGCTAAATCTTTTTTTTAGAAGAATCAAGCTTTAGATCAGCTTTCACTTACAAAAAATGAAATTCAAAATTTAAAAGCAGGTATTTATTTTGTTGTTTTTAATTGAACATTAATATTAATTGAATTTGTGTTTTAATATATGGTGGCCTTTTTTTTCATTTATGATTTTATCAGCAATAACAATATAATTGGTAATCTACAATAGTTCATTAGCTCAATTTTCAATAGAAAATTCATTCCATTTTAGAATATGTACAGTTTAAGTGGGCACACTCTAAGAAAAAATCTGTTATATACAACGAATTGTATCTGTCGCTATTGCACTAACGGGAAATCCGTTAAGTTAACGAATTAAAATTTTAACGAATTGAACTCCATTAGGAATAGTCCGTTGAATTTACGGATTTATTTCATTAGTGCAACGAATAATCCCTTAAAATTAAGGAGTTATTACACTAGGCAGCAAATTTTCCGCTGTTGTTATTCCTATGAAATAAATGTGTAAATAAGTTATTTTAGTGATTATTTCGTTAAAATCACTAAAATCTAAAATTAGAGAGGCCAGAATTGTGACTTCATAACCAAATAATCCTTATATTTGTTAATGTTTACATTTTTATTTAATTGCATTATTTTATTTCGATATTCTACATTAAAACGTTTTAACCAAAAATTGAAAACTAATCAAATATTTATAATATTTAATCTAATATACTTTAAATTACAATAAAAATAGTTAAAAGAAATATTTTTAATACACTATACTCAAGCTAGTACATTTATATAAAACACACATATATATATAATAGATGTTTAAAATAAACCAATGCCAAGATATTAGTTTTTGGTCGCTAGTTTTGGTTTGGTTGGTTTAAATAGGTTTTGGTTTTGAATACTGTTGTTACTTGTACACAGGTTCGCACTCTAAATCGGACACCATGCTGTCAACTCCTTAAAGATTAATATAAAATAAAATAAGGAAAATATGGAAACTTAATAACATACCTAGTATAAAACCAAAATAAAATGTTACTGATAACACTATAGAAAATGTTTTTGGTAATTCATTATATATAAATTTCTATTCTAAATTTTGTTATTTTAATTATCTCTGATATTGTTTTCTAAAGATAAAGTTAAATGGAACAAGTAAATTATATCTTTATTAAAATGTAAATTAAAAAAAAAAGTATAAGATTACCTTGACATTATCTATAACTGAAAGACTATATAACTGAAAGACTGATAACTGAAAGACTATATACATTTCACATACATCAATACCTATCAAGAGCAAAAAATAAGGTCTCTAACCTTTTAAATACTATGATAAATCAAAACAAGATTAAATATGCAGACCAAAAAAAAACGCAAGCAACTATATAAAAAAATTAATTTTACAACTTATTTAAACTTACAGTGTCATACCACTTGTCACATGTTTAAAATAGCTAATTCTAAAATAATAGTGAATATAGAATATAGTAGAATAATAGTTAAAAAAGTGTGATATAAACTTAGTCTTAACTAAACTAAATAAATATGCATGCCAAAAGAAATGCAAGTTAAAATACAATTTTTTTTTAATTTACTAATTCAAACTTACAGTGGGATATCACAAGCCACGTGTCTAAAACAGCAAATTCTAAAATAATATAAACATGCCAGATATAAACTTATTATTATTATTAATAGTTGAAACTCAACTAAATAAATATGCACGCCAATAGAAATGCAAGTTACAATATAAATTTTACAACCAATTTAAACTTACAGTATGACAGCTTATACGAAGTGCCTAAAATAGCAAATTCTGAAATAATATAAACGAGCCATACACAAACTTAGTTGTAATCTAATTATATAAACATGAACGTCAAAAGAAATGCAAGTTAAAATATAACTTTTTTTAAATTTACTAATTCAAACTTACAGTGGGATACCACATGCCACGTGTCTAAAACAGTAAATTCTAAAATAATACAAACACATCAAATATAAACTTAGGTTAAACTCATCTAAATAAATATGCAAGTTACAATATAAATTCTACAACCAATTTAAACCTACAATGTGACACTAAATGCCGTGCCTCTAAAGCAGCAAATTCTAAGATAGTATAAATAACTCATATATAACCTTATCTGTAACTCAATTAAATAAACATGAATGTTAAAAGAAATAGAAGTTCCAATATAAATTTTTTAATTTTACAACAAGTTTTAACTTACAGTGGGATAGCAAATGCCATGTGTCTAAAACAAAAAATTCTAAAATAATATAAACACACCAGCATAAACTTAGTTTATGATATTGGATGCCACATGTTTAATTTGGAAATTAATAAAAATTGCAATTTTTAAAAGCATATTAACTAGCCATGTAAACTTAATATGGTATGTTACTACATGTCATATGTCTAAAATACAAAGTTAAAAAAGACTATAAATAATCCATTTAGTCTATATTATAGAAATAATTGTTCAACTAACCCTTTACTACTAGTAAAGGATTAGTTGAACTTTTATTTCTATAATATAGACTAAATGGATTATTTATAGTCTTTTTTAACTTTATATTATAGAATATTTAATCCGTTGAATTAACGAAATTTCAAAGAATCCGTAAATAGTTAATTTTACTCCGTTAATTTTCTGGTTTTTGGTAACGAGTTAATCCGTTAATTTAATGAAAAAGCGCAATCCGTTACTTTTTTAACAAACTATTTTTAGAGTGCAATAAAGTGGTATTTTAAATATAAGTGTACTTAGCTGTCAGAGCATATACTCGTTTACTCATGTTCTAGTTTAATAAACACCTTAAAATTAACTTGTTTAAGGAGATAAAAATTAGTTAACCAAATTATTAAATGAATGAATAATTTAACTATTTGCAAATTACATGGTTTTTTTAGTCAAATGTTACAGGTGTTGAGAAACACTCTTAAGTAAAATAGTTTTATATTAAATTTGATAAGTTCTTATAAGTGTTATAGTGCTCGAAATAATTATTTAGAGGTTGCTGTTTAACACTGATTAGCTGAAATGATAAGAAAATTCAAAAGTAGACAATCAAATTTTGTATCAAATTTTTATAAGTGTAGCAATTTTTGCATCACACTTTTTATATTTTTTTCTTGATAGTACTGCTTATATCGCAGAATTTCCACTTTTAAATTTTCAAAACAATATAAATATCAAAATAAAAACTTATACTGGGCCTTGTTTTAAAGTGTCACATTATAAATACAAATGAGCCTTTTAAATAAATTTTTTTCAAGTGTTTCCTATTATAGGCACTTTAGCAAGCCTTTAAAAAAAATTTATGATAAGTTGTCCGGCTTATCCTTACTTATCGTAAAAATTAACAAATAAAAAATTAATTAAGTTGAACAAGTCAACTTTTGATTCATTATTTAATTATGCAAAGTCGTTCATTCAAAAAGTTAAAAAAACTTTATTTTCTAATCACCGTAAGATATTTTTAGCGCATTTTTGTCATTAACTTTAAGATTTTTGTTATGAATATCTTGTCCATTTATGATTATTTTTTTATATTTATATTACAAAATACATTTGTTATTTATAATATAAATATTTTTATTATATTTATAGTATAAAATATATTTTCTACATTCATTTAGTTAAAACTATAGTTTAAACTAAACAACTGTTTGCAACATTGTAAACGATTGTTTAGTAAAAACATTATTTAAAATTGAAAAAAACATGCACATTAGATCAAAGTATCAAGCTCATTCATTCAAAGTATAATTTGCAAAAATGTTTTTTTCTCTTGTATTCTATGCAATATATAAGCTATTCAAATATTAATGATCGAACTTTTACCGTTTTGGTTACCAAAAAGAAATGATAGTTTTTTTTTTACAAAAATGATACAAGAAATATTTTCTTTAAGAAAGTATTAGTTGATTGAAACTTTAACGCAAGAATATTATTTAAAAAATAAACAAAATACTGAAAAAGGTTTTGGACTATTCGTTATTTGATTAGTCAGATGATAAATCCAAATCAATTGATGTTTTTAAACCAGTTTTTTTTTGCTTTTTTTGAGTAATTTTTTCTTTCTGATTGTGTTGGCCTTTGCACTACGTTATTTACCCATAATTCTATAGCAGAACTCAAATACATTAGAATCTTTTCCTTGCAAACCTGAATTAAAATTTGCAAATGTTTCTCTTTCAGAGAGTTGCATGTGTTAGTTTTTACTCTATTCATAATTGACAAAAGGCGTTCAACTTTTGCATTAGATACAGGCAAAGTACTTTACAGTGTAATTTACTAAGCTATGCCAAGCATTCAAAACTTCATTTACGCTTCCGGTGAAACCAGCATGTTGAAACTGCGTATTATAAAAGTCATAAACTTTTTCTATTTCTTCTTCAATAATGCATTGTTTTCAATACTTTGAAGCCAGCCTTCTGTATTAAAAGTTTTTGTATTATACATATCAGGGATATTATCACGTGTTTCTAAACATTCTATGATTGAATTCATTACTAACTCAATAAGAATAGACTTTAGCATTTACAAAATCGTTAAAAGCGACACCCTGGAAATAAAACTTTCCACCCTTTTAAGTCACTTTGGCAAGGAAATGTTTTACAGAGGCAAATCGATAAATTTGGTCTTTTGAATACGATTTATTTGTTTTTTAGCTTAGTGAATAAACCCTGATGAAGCTAATACATCAATCTCGTCACTTTAAAAAGATTTTGACAACATGTTTATTTCAATAAGCGATGTAAAATTTTTAAAATACCTACTTTCTGTTTTCTTTTCCAGATATGTTAAATAAACACCGTATTTGTCTAATATCATCTTTAAAACCCGAACTTTATGTGCAATCGACTGTGTACCTAAAAGAGAAACTTTTGCAATTTTACAAGTTCACCGAGCTGCTTTAACTTTTTTGGTAATTTTTTGTAAATGTAATGCATTTTTAAAATAATGCAATCAACTTCATTAAATAATTCAGTCTTTCCTAATTTGCACCAAAATCAACTAAATTGTTATTGCAATTTTTGATTTCTATATTCTCAAGTGATTCTTGTATCATGTTAAAAACATGCGATGTTCCATATTCGACATCTAAAAAGTAAAAAGCACATTAAACATATATTTCCGATTTTTCAGTTGGGATTGGATTAAAGGTCTTCTTCCGATATATTTCCGATTCTTCAGTTGGGATTGGATTAAAGTCTCTTTTTCCATAATTGAAACGCCGTTAGAACTGTCAATTAGAATAGTAAAAAAGTTTTGATTAATTGCTTTTTTTAAAGATCTTTCTCCAAACTTAGAGCAATGTAGTCAATGAATGTTCGGCAAGTGTTTGCGTTCTTGTAAGCTTGACCAAAAGCTACACCATGTTTCTCTTATAATTGAATTATTTTTGGATATAGATTAAGCAACAGTTCTTCTTTTGCTATAATGTAAGAAACCTCAAATTTAAGTAAGAAACCTCAAGTTTTTGACTGATCTTATTTAAAAAGTTAGAGAGCTAATTAAATTTAGAAGGAATGAATGGCTTAAAGTAATGTTTTATTAAATAGGAGTTTCCAGCAGCAATTATGTTTTTTATTAATGTATTGCCATGGAAATTAATTAGCAATGCCAAATATTTTTAATTTTTTTTTGTGTGTGCGTGTTATTGTTGTTGTTTTTGTCGTGTACTTATAATCATCAACATATATATGTATATATAATCAACAAAGTATACTTGTATATGTATTTCTAATTTATCTTGCTTAGCTAGCAAATAATAATTATATATTTAATTAATTTTTTAAACAATTGTTTTTAAATAAAAAAATATAAAAAAAAAATTTTTTTACTATTAATTTATTGTTCTGGAACATGAACTTATTTTTACCTTATAATTTTTTATTAGTATTTTAAATATCCTACTTTTAAAGAGATAAAGAAGATATAAGTGTTGCTTACTATTTTATAATTATAAAGAAAGTAAATCACCACTCCCTCCCCTTCCTCCTTTCCAGTTGAATAATTTTCATTTTAGTAGGTTTCAGTTTTTTAAGTTTCATTATTTAGACTTACTTTGTGATTGTAAAACTAAATACAAAAGAATGGTTTGCTTTCATGCTGCTTTGCTATTAACATTATTTTATTGTTTATATTTTTGCAAATTATTAAATTTTATTTTTCTAGAATTAGAAAAACTGGCTAAGTTTGAGGGCAACATCTCACTGGAACCAAATTGTGAAACAATAGTTGATACATTGCCATTGCAAGTACAAAAACTTGAAGCAAATAAAATAAAATTGATTAAAAAAATTACAAAATTAGAAGAAGACTTACTTAAACAAGAAACAGTGATATCAGCTCTTCGTTTTGAAATAAATGATCTTAATATTCAGATAGTAGAAATGTCTGACAAGTGCAGTAATGCTGAAGATAAACTTTTTGTTAAAAATAAAACACTCTCTAAACTTGAAGCAGAAAATCAATGTAAGTTCTGTATTAATGTTCTACATTTTGTTTGTAAAATATATTCTTTAATATTTTATAAAATATGAACCTCAACCTGGGTTATTGTGCAATTATATAAATGTTGCCTATTGTGTAATAATAGCTACAAAATATTATAAAATAATAATAATTTTTTCACTTTTTAAAAAACCTGTTAAAATTATTTTTAACATAAGTTAAAGTTATGTTTGTAAGTTATTTTAAAAATCTTTTTTCAATAAGTTAAACTTTATTTGAAGTATTCAAAATTAAAAAATTTTTTGAAAAATCATTTTTCAATTAACGTTTTGGCTGTGCAATATAAATAAATGATGTTTAGAAAAATTAACTAAAATTTTATAACTAAAAAAAAAACAAAAACTATCACTCGTTTTCATTGTAAAAGATGTATAAGTGATATATCAAAAGAAAGAAAAAAAAATTTGTGCACAATTCAGTGGTACCATTTATAAATTACTGAACCAATATTTTAGTGTTAAAGGTTACAGTTTTAAGATAACTTTAAAAGCAGCGATTAACCATCAAATCCGTTCTTTGGGTGAAAACCAAAACAAAAAAATTGAACTGATCTTATTATTTAAAATAAATAAAAAACTGAATGGTAACCAAAAAATCTTTCAAAATTATGATATAAAAACTTTGAAATTGCAAAATACTTATTTAATATTTAATTGTTAATATATAATTGTTATTTAATTTAAAAAATTGCATTATGATCATTTATCAAATACACAATTTTTTTAAGTCAAGTCTTAAACAATTTTATTGTTGTTAAATGTTTTTTTTTTTTTTAACCAATAAACTTATGTGTTAAAAAAATACAAGCTTTATTTGTTAAATATCTACCCATGCTGATATCTTCAGAATGAGCTGATATTTCATAATCAGCTTTTTTTCACTACTGCAATCATCTGATTCTATTATTACAGTTGTTTTAAACCGAGTCCACTTAGCTAATAGTGACAGTGTATCCACCCTGTTTCTGTCAGTATTTATTTTTTGATTTTATACTTGTTTTCTTTAATATTCAAATATATACATTGTTGAATTAAATCTTATTTGTAAAAGCATGATGTTTAATGTAATGAATTTCAATGTTGAATTAAAAATTGAATGAAACAAACTGCACTTTCAAGACTAGTTTTCAAAATGGAAATAAATTTAAAAAACTTGTTAATGTTTAGTAAAAGAAGTTGCCAAAGAAGTGTCTTTAAAATTATTTTTCTAACCAATTTTTTCAAGAACAATTGCCTATAAAACATCAAGTTATGTTTGAAAATGTCAATTACACAAATTTCATTCTTTTTAGTACTGTTTCAATATGCTTTTTGGTGTGTTTTTGAGGTTTTACTCTGTGCAGAAAATTTTTATGGAATACATTTAGTTTAACCAAAATAATGAAGATAAAATAACTTTTACAAAATACATTTTGAAAAAAAACTTTATAAAGAAAAATGCAGAATAATTTTTCTTTTATCAGTTGTAAGTTCTGAAGGCTCTCATAGGTTCTGAAGGCTCTCATTCATTTTCGCAAGGTTGTTGGTTTTTTATCATCCAAATCTTCAGACAACAAGTTTGCTATTTATTAGGATCTTTTAATAATTTTTTTTTGAATAAATACAAGCCTATCAATATTGCTTAAATAAATTTTGGTTCTCTTGCAAGACAGTGTTCCCACCAGGAGTGAACATGCCCTCTGAGCTTGCAATGTAAAATAGGATGGAAATTTTGTTTTTTATCTCCTTCACTAGTGGAGTGTTTTCTGATGATTTTTCACCCATTTCAATTAGAATTAAAACACTGGATTTCATAAATTATAAAACAACCTTGGTCTTTTATAAACATTAATTTTTATCAAAATCATTTTGAAAAATTTGAGTATTGATTTTTATATAATTTTTCTTCTTTTAACATTTAATAATATATAAAATTAATTTTTATATTGTTTTTTTGAAATAATAAATTATATATTTTTGAAGTGCAACTTTTGTTTTTAGTACATCTTCAAAAAATTATGGTACTAGAAGAAAATATATCAATGTTAGAAAAGAAAAAAGGCTTAGTAGAATTAAAAGAAGAAAAAATAGCTTTGTTACAAGCAGAACAAATATCAGAATTAAATACAGAAAAAATATCATTGCTAGAAGGAAGAAAAGTAACAAATAAAGAAAAGTTATCAGTTTTAGATGAAAATATATTAGTGTTAGAAGAAGAAAAAAGTATAAATAAAACAAAGGTTTCTGCTAAAAAGCCACGTTCTAAACAGAAAAGAATTTCAGTAACAAATGAAAACACAGTAAAAAAAAATTTTTTTTAATGCTTCATTCATATTATTAGTACATTTAATCTTATATATTTTTTATACCAATAAATATTTTATTCATATAACTATGTTATATTTTTATTTTCATAACATTTTTTGTTGCTATTTGATAACAATTTAATATTTTTAAACAATTTATCACCAATATTTGGTACAATGTATTCTTATATTTACTATTTCTTATGGCATTTGATTGTTAAAGTTAATTCTTAAACTTTTGACAATATCCTCAGTCTTGCAAAAATGCTCTCCAGAATTTTCTACTATGAAAAATATATCATAGTTTTATGAATAAAATATCTAAAATATTTAACAAGTTCTTAGTTGTAACTTTTTGTTTGTTAGATTAAATTTTTATGTTTCTCAACATAAGGAATAAGTACTACTAAAAATGAGTATTAATACTCTTATGCAGGATGTTATATTACACCTTAATTTGCTCTTGCTTTTTGAAGTTTGATAATTGCAAAGTTTTGATGGGCTAGATAACCCCTTGAAAATAGTAATTATAAAACTTGGACATTCTCTCTAGATAAATTTAAATAATGATAGCTTAGATCAAAATCAGCCATGACTTATTACTGGATTGTTACATTTACACAAACAAACACATGTTTGTTTGTATTTTTGTGGAACTTGCATTTTTAAATAAATTTTTTTTGTTTTTAAGTAAATTTGAAGAAAAAAAAACAGAAAAATAAACAAACTCAAATCGAAACAGAAATACAAATGTAAACAGAAACATTTATGCTAATCTTTTTCACAAAGTTCAAATCATAATTTTCTATGATGTAGGTTGATACAGTATTCATTAATTTAGTTTGAACTACTGCCTAGAGTAGATTTACTGATAGCTTCTAAAAAGATTTTCTTTTTTTAAAGTTTGATAATTGCTTTTCTTTTTTTAAAGTTTGATAAGTGCTTTTGTTTCAACTATGTACTTTATAAGTAAATCCTGGACTATAACAAGATCACTTCTTTTGGATGAAGGAGGCTCAGTATACATATTTCTACTACTGATTTTGTGGATTATGAAAGTATACTATAAAAAGTTCCTAAATGAAAAAACTATCTGATTCCAATTTACCTACCAGTTTTGATAATGATTTCATAACATTATTAAAATATTGACAGTCTTTTTAAAAAAATTTGTCTCAGATATTGTTTATATATTTTGATTTGTTTGTGAACAAAGATATTTGTGAAAAGTAATCTAAGTTGATAAAACTCAAATGAACTGTTTTATTTTGAAGACTATAGACAACTGATGTAGAATGTTTATACCACCATTTTTAAAAATGCATGTCATAATGTTCATATTTTCTTCAAACTATTTTCTTGTTTAACATGACTTTGAATTATATGAAATTGATCAATAAGAAATTTTCTTTTTCAAAAAAATGCTGTCAGTTTTCCAAACTCTTTAGAATATCTACAAATTAAGGAAGAAAGCAAATATCTTTTACTACAAGATTGATTTATATGGACTATTAAAAAATATTTTTTGATGTTTGTTTTCAAATAATAATGTTCTCATGTTTCAGATTTTTTGATTATTGCATTATAAGTTACAGTGCTTGATTCTTTATCAATACCAACCTCAAGAATATTATATTTTCTATGCATTTTGCAATATTAACAACAGTTTGCTGCTCTTGACCAATAGGTTCACTTTGCTAGCAATTGATTTTATGTTCCTATTTTCAACATAAATTGAATAATAAGATGATTTGCATTGTTTCAAAATCAGTCACAATACTTTTGTATTCATAACTATTAACATAATTTGTACATTTTTTATCATTTAATGCATCTTAAAAGCTATGCCCACTAATGCATTACTCGATGGGGTTTTATATGCATATCTAAGATTAGCATAATCTTACTTTTAAACTGAGGAATCAGTCGCTTTCTTTTTTTGAAGCACACTCTTTATCTTATCAGATGCTCTTTCACATTCCCTTAAATTTGTACATCCATCTCAATGTTTAGCATGATGTAATAAATTTTAAATAGCTGTTTATAATAATAACCATATATTTATAGAATGAAATTGATTATATGTTTAAGTTTTAATGTTTTTATTTTATTTAATTTTAACATTATTATTTTTTAATTGTTTTTTTAGATTACTTCAAAGAAATCAAAAATAACTCCTCAAAAGGTGTGATTTTCATTTTAAAAACAAATTCTTTAGAAAAATACATTATATGTAAATTACGGCTGTTAATAATGAAAAATGTTTTAATATTTGTTAAAGTTGAAAAATTGTAACTTTAGATATGCACATAAATATTTCTTTTATTTTTAGCCATATCCTAGCCGAAAAGTATTAAATTGGTAAGTTTAAAGAATCTTATACAACTTTTTATTATATTGGTTTTTTTGTTTTTTTGTGCTAATGATGAAGTGGAATGAGGTTATTAACAAAATTATTTTAAAAGGGAGTGATTTTTTTATTTTACTATTTTGAGCTTGATAAAGTGTATTAATGTTTTTGATAATTAAATAAAGTGTGTTTTTATTAAATTTTATTATTGGCATTAAAAAAAATTTATTTTTTATTTTAGCATCCAAAATAATGAATGCGAAACTTTGCCTGGTAAGAATTTAATAAAACTAGACTCAATATAACATAGATGAGTTTTTTCCAGGAATTCCCGGAATTCTGGAAATTCACTTAAAACTCCTTTAATTTTTCAGAAATTTTCGGATGTTTTTTGTTATTAATTTGAATAAAAAAATTATATATTTTTACATAAAATTTTAAAAACGATAACTTTTGCTTTTAAAAAAATATGTTTTCTATAGTTAAAATTTTCACAAGATCAATTTTCGTAACAATTTTTTTTTTTTTTTTAAATCTTAATTTATTTAAATTAACTTTTTTGAATATTAGAAAAATTTTTTGTAAAAAGTTAATCTAAATTCCGTTTTAAAAGTTTACAAAAGCTTTTGTTTTTAGTTAATACGATCAATTTTTGTCGGAATTTTTTCGGGATTTTCATAAAAAAAAATTTCTGAAATTTTCATCAAGTCTTGATTGAAAAATTTGACTATATGAAAATTTCGGAAATTTGACTTAATGAAAATCCCAGAAAATTCCGAAAAAAATGTTTATTAAATACTCATCTATGATATAATTTGACTTTATGAAAATTCCGGAAATTTTTTTTCATGAAAATCCCGAAAAATTTTTTAATTAAATACTCATCTATGATATAACAAACTGTAAACAAAAGTAAAATAGATATAAGTAGATATGACAAAGCAAAATAAAATAAAAGAATACTGTTTTAACATTCATTATTTTTATGAAGATAATTTTTTGTTAAACATGCAATTATATGCATAAAAAAATCTACAAAATAAGTTTAATATTTAATTAAGTCACTTACATTACCTTTTGACATTCCGTGTGTGGAAAACATAAAAAAAAACTTTGATTTTCTATCAGTTTGTAATGAATCACTTGTTGCGTCTGTGAGTATCGCTTTGTCACCTCTTCAAACAGACTCACATAATGAAAATAACTTATGCAGCCATGTAAGCGTTACTTTAATTTTTTTTTTTTTTTAGTTTTTATAAAAAGTATTTTGTTGCTAATTTTTTAAATCAAAATATTTTTTTTTTAGATTAATATAGGAGAGTTTGTTGCTTTAAAAACTGGAAGTGTATCAGAACCAAGTATTGGGAGGGTACTCTCAAAATCCAGTAATCGTTTAATGCTAGAGATATGGCAAGAAAGTAATAAAAAATCTTGGTCAGTGAAATCTGGTTACAATAAACATGAGATTTTTGTTGACGAAGTTTTGTGTGGTGGCATTTACTTTACAAACTCTAAAAAATTGCCAATATCTCTTCAACGTAAACTGCAAACTCTCTATTCATAGTTTAATTACTACTTATTGTTGATGCACCTTTTTATTACATTTTTATATTCTGTTTTTTTAACAAATGAAATTTTAAACTAAGTTTGACTATTACATATATTGCAAATGGGGACTTTAATGGGGAATTTAATGCTTTTAAAAGAGATTTTTAAATCAATTTTGCAGAGTTTATTATTATTTTTAATTAAAGTATTTTTAATGGTGTAATTTAATGTTAGCATTCTGATATTTTTAAAAAATCCATCAATGTGCATCTTGAATCAACAACTTGAACAAATTTTATTTGATTTGAATTTTTATGGATTAAACTCAAGTAAAAAGTTTTCATTTACATTATTTAAATAGTAAAATAAATAAATTAAAATTGTAAAATTGTTATGAATATTTAATTATTTTACAACAATGTTTTGAGAACATGGAAAAGATACTTGTTTTAATTTGTAAGTTGTTGTTTTTTTTCCCTTTCCTTTACATTTACTTGTAATGTATTTAATTATTTCAACGTGCTTGCTTTTAAGGTTTTAACAGATTTATTGAAGTTCTCTGAAAAAATTTGAAATTCTTTACAAAAAAGTTTGAAATTCTCTTAAAAAAAGATTTTATTATCTATAATATTATATTACTTTTTTTATTTTTTTTATTTTTTTTTGCTTATTTATATCTTTATGTTTATATATTATTTTTATTTTTTTTTTAGACCTATTTTTTGAATACTTAAGTTATATAATTATTCTTTTTACTTTTTGAAAAGTTTATTCAGTTTTTATGTAATGGTTTGGCCTGCAAGAATTTCAGTTGAACATGTAGCATGTGCCATTTCATTGAACATTGAACATTTTTTAACAAAATAAATTTTTTTTACAATACAAGTTGTCAATTTGTACTAAGTGTGTAAAAGTTTATTGTGGTCAGTTTTCTGTAAAACGTGCAAGTTTGTAGAAATGTTTAAGGGATGTTTTTAAAAAAACTTTTCGCTCTCTCTTTTTTGGTCTATAATTTTAAAAACTGGTGTAGATACAAAATATTTTGCACAGCATTAAGACAGCAATTTAAAAAAAAACTATTTTTTGGTCCTTATACCAATTATTTTTGAATTACTTATTCTCAATAATAAAGGATTTTTTATATCATTTTTATAATTATAGTTAGTTTTATTAAAATAGATTATGTTACTATGATTGGTTAATTCATTTTTGTGCATGATTCAATTATATATTATGTCTATAAAAAAAAGTTGGTGTTAAATAGTTATTAACAAAATAGTTTTTGGTTTTTTAAACCAGTGCTTTTTGATTTAAAAAAATGGCAAAATCATGTAGGTATCACCTAATGCTTAATCTTTTAATGCCTTGATACTTTTATATATATATATATATATATATATATATATATATATATATATATATATATATATATATATATATATATATATATATATATATATATATTTGTTTATTTATTTATGTGTGTGTACTATAGCATATATAGATAAACATTTCTTAACCTTTTTTGGTTAATTTTTTCCATACGGCTTTTTCGGAAATAAAAGAAAAAAAGAAAGAATAATAAAAAAAAGATCGCTGTCTCAAATCAAATCTTAAGTCGTTGCAGCAGTACTCCTTACTCTACCTATTTAGTCGATATGTCAGAGAGGTTCTAAACATCTAGAATCAAGCAAGCCCAAACATTGACTACTTCCAAAATTGATTTTTTTTTTATTTTTGTTTTGTTATTTATGCTAAAAGCTTAATTCTAAAATGCAAAATTGTAGTCTTTTTGTGACATGTATAATTTTTATGCCATCAACTACAGTACTGATTTTAGTTACCTATAATTTTTTAAAAAGCAAGTTATTAGATAAATAGTAATTAAACATTAATTCTATAATAATTATTTGAATTCTAATGTTGTAAACAATGTTTTTGTATACAAACTCATAAGTTGTAAAATATTTTCCCTTCGATGTATTATTTTTTTTTTATTGGTATCATTCTTTTCTGTATTTTTTTTCATTTTTTTAATTGAAGTATTCAGAAAAAAAAAAATTCTGCCTAAAGTAAAATCATAATGTATTTCTTGTTGGCAATGCCCAACTATGATTTTGAAGCATTAGAGTCTTATCTACCCGAATCTCAATAGATGAAACACCTTGATATACAATTTTTAAAAAACTTTTTGAGAGTATCATTTTCCGTTGATAAACGAGATACTCTGCACATACTTATACCTATCTTCCCAAAGTAGTCTTTCTGGCCCTTTTGAAACTTCACAACTAATTGTTGCATTCAAACCATACACATTCATTTAAAATGAAACATGACTGCAATTTTTCAAAAGTTTTTTTCAATTTTTCAAAATCAGAAAGGGCGAATTAAATATGTTGTAATTTTTTTTTTTCAAATTGCTGAAATGAAGTTGATATTTAGTTTTTAAGTACCTTTTTGATTTTTCTCAAGTTTCTCAACAGTTGATTTTTTATTAAACATATTTGCGAAGTGTTGCAAATGGATTCATTCTGGCAGTAACTGTGTCTATTAAAGCAGCCAAGCATTTCTATAATAATGTTGGGTTACATTTAATAACCGCATTAAACTCAAGTCTGACAAAAGCTCATATGCTGTTTTTTTGTAACTTTTGGGATGTAAAACGATGTTACAACTGTATTGTTGTTGGCATGGGCTACATGTTCAATAAAATGGCACTGACAATGTATTCAACATCACCGCTGCCATACTTTATTTTCGAAAGTTTCAATATCATCTCTGTCATACATTTTGAAAATACTATAAGAAACATCGTGTAACAATCCACTTAAAAGATAATTTTAAAAAAATGTTTACATCAGTTTTTTGTAAATAAATAGTTTTGTGGTAATACAAAATCTTTGTGCAAGATTTTCTATTTTCAGGCAAGTTCTATTTTATACTTTGTGCACTTAAATGTGGTTGATAAAAATTGTTTTGTGTATTAATCATGATAAATAAACAAAAAATAAAGTTGAGCAACAAAGTTAATTTGTCATATCACTGTTGTTATACATTTTTTTCAATTTCATCTGGAATTTCAGTTTCAATAGTCTCATTACCTTTAAGCAATTTTAATACTCTTTCAATTGACCAGGTGCAATGGATTATAAAAAAAAAAAAAAAAGTTGTAACTCTTACTTTTCACTACTTCTGAATAAAACAACTTTGTCAGACTTAATGCAGCAAATGGAATGGTAAAAAATTTAGTGCATATTAAGCATAGATGAGTTTTTTCCGGGAATTCCGGAAATTCACTTAAAACTCTTTCATTTTTCCAGAAATTTTTGGATGTTTTTTGCTATTAATTTGAAAAAAAAAATTATATATTTTCACATAAAATTTTATATACAACAACTTTTGCATGTAAACAAATATGTTTTCTATAATTAAAATTTTCACAAGATAAATTTTCTTAACAATTTTTTTTCTTTTTCTTTTTTTGCTTTTTAATTCATTCAAATTAACTTTTTCGAATATTAGAAACTCTTTTTTGTAAAAATTTAAATAATATAAATTAGTAAAATAAAAAAAGTTTACGAAAGTTTTTTCTGTTAATACGATCAATTTTCTGGGATTTTTATAAAGTCAAATACTCATCTATGATTAAGCACATATTGATGTTTTTATATGCTGAGTTTCATAGCTTTTACTTGAAGTTTTACAAGCATTTTTTATTTTTTTTCGTGATGGTCATAACAAAAAATCCAATGCCTGAAAACAACAAGGACGCAATCAATGATGTAAGAAAAAAATTGTAAATGATTATTAACAACCATGTGTATTATGTTTAAAAAGTGCACTATAATATTATCAAAGATTTCAATTATGGATATAAGGTACAAATTTTAGTGCTACACAATAGGATTGTAAATAAGTGTCAAAACATGTTTAAATGACAAAACAACCTTTACAACATTAAAACCATGGTATAATGAAATGATTTAATAACTTTTTTGCTTAAAAGTATTTTCAAGTGGTTAAAAAAAGTTAAGGAGTTTAGTACGTGTTTTCATAAATATTTTGCTTTTTTTTCCAGAATTTTGCATAATTGTCCATATATATATATATATATATATATATATATATATATATATATATATATATATATATATATATATATATATATATATATATATATATATATATATATATATATATATATATATATATATATATATATATATATATATATATATATATATATATATATATATATATATATATATATATATATATGTATATATATATATATATATATATATATATATATATATATATATATATATATGTATATATATATATATATATATATATATATATATATATATATATATATATATATAATAGCGTATTCTACAAATAGAGTGCTCAATGTTCTTAAAGAACAGAGCAATAATAATTTAGTAACTGATAATAATAATTTAGTAACTTTAACTTCCTGGTGAACCTACTGATGGTGAAACATGCTATTGAAGAGCACAAAAATTGTGTTTATACTAAATTATATATATATATATATATATATATATATATATATATATATATATATATATATATGTGTGTGTGTGTGTGTGTGTGTGTGTGTGTGTGTGTGTGTGTGTGTGTGTGTGTGTGTGTGTGTGTGTATATGTATATGTATATGTATATATATGTATATATATATATGTATGTATATATATATATATATATATATATATATATATATATTATATATATATATATATATTTTATATATATATATATATATATATTTTATTAGATTATCTGACATCAACATTTTTTAGGTAAATCCGTAATTTATTGAATATAACATAAATTAAATCTTAGCTTTACTTATTTCATTTTCAATAAATTATATATACACAGTATTACTACTGTTATACTCAAGAAACATGATATAAAAAGCAAACATAAAGACATTATTTAATCATAAAAGAAATCATTTATATTATAGAGTTGATAAAAGATCAGAAATTCCCATTGGATAGTATGGACTTCTAATTTTAAAAATTTTAATTATTTATTGGGTTTTTAATCAAATTTCATTTTCTAAAATTGTTATTGAAAAAGTAATTGTAGAGTTAATATACTTCTCATTTTAATTTTGTAAGTGTAAAAAATAAGCAAATCAGTTTAGTGATTTTTTA